TGTGATGTTAAAGTTACAAGCGCTATCAAACAGACACGGGTAGTGATGGTTGTATGTGTGATGATGTGTGATGTTAAAGTTACAAGCGCTATCAAACAGACATCGGTAGCGGTGGTTGTGTGTGTGTTGATGTGTGATGTTAAAGTTAAAGCGCTATCAAACAGACACGGGTAGCGGTGGTTGTGGGTGTGATGTTAAAGTTACAAGCGCTATCAAACAGACACGGGTAGTGGTGGTTGTATGTGTGATGATGTGTGATGTTAAAGTTACAAGCGCTATCAAACAGACACGGGTAGCAGAGGTTGTGTGTGTGATGATGTGTGATGTTAAAGTTAAAGTTAAAAGTTAAAGTTAGTTTCCAATACAGGAGGCGTTAGAGCTCCTCTACACTGGACTCAAAAACAGTTGTATAATTTAACGTTAAAGTTCAATGTTATTTAAATTTGCCCTATTATTAAAATAAAGTTTCTGGGAAAATGTGATATGTAATGTAAATTCAAGCATGGTGTTTTATAGTTCTTGTTATTTTACAAGTGAAACAGTGAGTCATAAACCATGTGGACTAAATGATTGTCTTTTGATGTGTAATATCCTAAAGTCTCAAAAATAAGTCTTATTTGGAAAAAGGCCAGCTTTAAAAATAAACCTTGGATTTGTTAAAAATAAAAATAAATTAAATAAATATGCAACATTTGATATAGCGCCCTATCTAGCTAGCATAAGCCACTCTAAAGCTCTTTACAGTACATATATATATATATATATATATAGTTAATACAATTAGCATATACATTAATCAATACAGTTTTGATGAATTCGCAGGAGCTGCCTTATCAGCCGCTTACTACTAGTCCTATGCCACCTGGCTAATATCACCCTATGTGTGTATGCCTGTGTGTGTGCTGGAGATGTAACGTTTGTTGCAGTCAAATATAGCTGGAATAGAATCAAATGGAATGCTTGACAGTCTAAATGACTTTAAAAATAGGACGACCTCAAATATAAATTGGTTTTGGAAATAAGAGTAGCATATCTTTATTAAAAACAAAAATAAGCTGCCACTTATTTTTCGTTTTTAGGGTATTCATTTTAATGGTATGGGGAAAATAATTAATTGGATAGTGCTTAGATAGTACTTATTTATTTCATAAAAGGAGAGCTCATGATGGTGTAATTAATCATAAGCATATTATTTTCCCAGGGTTTGCTGGCTTTGGAAGGGGAGCTAACTCCCATCCTTGTGCAGATGGTGAAGAGTGCTAATACTAATGGACTCCTGGATAAACAGGGTGAAACTTCCAAGTACCAGCACATGTAAGTTGTACCAGCACCAGCACATGTAAGTTGTACCAGCATCAGCACATGTAAGTTGTACCAGCACCAGCACATGTAAGTTGTACCAGCACCAGCACATGTAAGTAGTACCAGTACCAGCACATGTAAGTTGTACCAGTACCAGCACATGTAAGTTGTACCAGTACCAGCACATGTAAGTTGTACCAGGAGCTGTAATGGTGCTAGTCCCTGCAGGTAGGGCGTAATCATTGTACCTGCTGCCCCCATTGCATTCTCATAAGAGGCGACTAAATTTGGGATATTATCTTTTCTCTTCTTTCTAAACAAATTTCTTCTTCCTAATGTCTCCCTTGACAATGCCTCACTTTTGGCCTTTAGTTGAGTGTTCGCCCCTGTGAGGAAGGCTTTGGGTTCTGTCCCCTGGTCGAGACATACCAGAGTCTGTAAAAATGGTAGTTTCTACTCCTGCTTAATGCTCAGCAATTTAGGAGTGGGACGACTGGTTCGCCCGTTGTCAGTATAATGTGACCGGGTGGGGTGTCCTGCTGGGTGTCTTCGGCAGTATGTTTCAGTGAGGTAGCACTATAAAGTCGGCATCAGTTCCGCGCTATCACAGGGAGACAAACACGAACATATCCCAGCCTCCCAAAACACACATGCATGCATCTTGCACACAGGGGAGGCCGTCCTTAAATGACCATAGCTGTTGATTAATAGAATCTATCGCTACTGGTTGTTGAAGATAGAGAAATCTCAACCCGAGGACTAAGATTTTTTGTCCAGAACGAGGCTTGCCAGGGGTTGAGATTTCTCTATCTTACACAACCAGTAGCGATTGATTATTTTTCTCCCATATCTAACAGTATTTTAATGTGAAATAAAGGTAACCATGGACCCAAAACACATACAGGCAATTTGTTGATGGATTGTTGACGTGACGTCATTGTATTGTTGAAGTGACGTCATGCCATTGTTATGAATAGGGGAATCCCCCCGTCTCAACCCTAGGGCGGAGACAGATAAATCTAGCACCGGCAAAACGGGAGATAAATCTGTCAGGTGTGGGAGAAAGGACGTTAAACAATACTAAACCATAATCATAGCATTTATCAAAAGATAAGGTAAACTAAATCCATATAGAAACCAGTGCTATGAAAGAGTTTTGGCCACGTTGTGGAATAGCTTACCATATGATACCAGATAGTCAACAGCTCTGGCTATAAATTCAAGAAGGATGTAAAGACCCATCTTTTGTATGTCCGCATTTAAGACTCTTTTCGTAGACGTCACAAACACACCATTCTATATCTATTTATTTATATACATGTACATGTGTTGATAAATTTTGGGTATTCCCTTCCCTGTTGTCTAGTATACTGGACAAGGTTTTGGGTACTCCCTTCCCTGTTGTCTAGTTTATATACTGGACAAGGTTTTAGGTACTTCCTTCCCTGTTGTCTAGTATACTGGACAAGGTTTTGGGTACTCCCTTCCCTGTTGTCTAGTATACTGGACAATGTTTTGGGTACTCCCTTCCCTGTTGTCTAGTATATACACTGGACAAGGTTTTAGGTACTTCCTTCCCTGTTGTCTAGTATACTGGACAAGGTTTTGGGTACTCCCTTCCCTATTGTCTAGTATACTGGACAAGGTTTTGGGTACTTCCTTCCCTGTTGTCTAGTATACTGGACAAAGTTTTGAGTACTCCCTTCCCTGTTGTCTAGTATACTCGACAAGGTTTTGGGTACTACTTTCCCTGTTGTCTAGTATACTGGACAAGGTTTTTGGTACTCCCTTCCCTGTTGTCTAGTATACTGGACAAGGTTTTGGGTACCCCCTTCCCTGTTGTCTAGTATACTGGACAAGGTTTTGGGTACTCCCTTCCCTGTTGTCTTGTATACTGGACAATGTTTTGGGTACTACCTTCCCTATTGTCTAGTATACTGGACAAGGATTTGGGTACTCTCTTCCCTGTTTTCTAGTATACTGGACAAGGTTTTGGTACTCTTTTCCCTGTTGTCTAGTTTACTTGTCAAAGTTTTGGGTAATCCCTCCCTATTGTTATTCCGTCTTTGCGTATTGCAGAGTTATCTTCTCTTGGCAGCAGCTATTGATTGTTACGTCACTTGTTTGTGAGAATAACGTCATCAATTTTTGAGAAAATGACGTAATTTTCTCACACAGACCAATGACGTAACAATCAATACCTGCTCCTAAGAGAAGATAACTCTGCAGTACGCAAAGACGGAATAGTGTACTGTATGAGGTATTTGAACTGAGTCGAGAAGATAGGATATGTGTCAATTTCTTTATGCTTAAATTGTGTGATCACAGAGTCAAAGAGCGGCTGCTGACCATGCTAAACGTGGACGAGGAGTTTGATGAAGCGGATTATGAGAAGGTAGGTTCACGTGCTGAAATAAGATACAGTTTGCCTAATAGCTGTATACATAAATATAACCTGTCAAATTATAACTATATATATAATCCAGAAATTTGTATAAAAATACGTCACCTGGGTGTGTATGTACATTTCTGTGTAATTAAGTAATCTAACGATGGTACAATAGATTATGTTACATAAGTTGATATACTAAGTGAGGGGCTGTATGACCGAGTAACAATAGATTATGTTACATAAGTTGATATACGAAGCGAGGGGCTGCGATGGCCGAGTAACAAAAGATTATGTTACATAAGTTGATATACTAAGTCAGGGGCTGTATGGCCGAGTAACAATAGATTATATTACATAAGTTGATATACTAAGGGAGGGGCTGTATGGCTGAGTAACAATAGATTATGTTACATAAGTTGATATACTAAGTCAGGGGCTGTATGGCCGAGTAACAATAGATTATATTACATAAGTTGATATACTAAGTGAGGGGCTGTATGGCCGAGTAACAATAGATTATGTTACATCAGTTGATATACTAAGTGAGGGGCTGTATGGCTGAGTAACAATAGATTATGTTATATAAGTTGATATACTAAGTGAGGGGCTGTATGGCCGAGTAACAATAGATTATGTTATATAAGTTGCTATACTAAGTGATGGGCTGTATGGCCGAGTAGTTAGTGTCTCTACTGTCTGTGATCACTAGCCCTCCACCGCTGAGTTGCAGGTTCAAAGTCACGAGGGGCAGTCGCCAGGTACTGGCTGCAGGTCGGTAGTTTTTCTCCAGGTTCTCTAGCTTACCTCCACCATCAAAACCTGGCATACCGTTAAATGACCTTAGCTGTTGATAGGACAGTATACCCTATACAACCAACCAACCATAGCTGTTAAAATATAAATATAAGTTAGTAAATCACCATCAAACCACCAAAACCTGGCACTTCCTTCAATGATCCTAGCTAGGTCGTAGAAACACAAACCACACAAAAACACAAAGCGTATTCACTGAATTACATGACAATTATGTGATCAAATGTGATATATAACTAAAGGCAGTACTTCAGCCAATGCACACTGAGGGAAAACCTGAAACAAATGACGAATTATGAACATTGTGATTGTCAGCTGGCCCCGACACGAACCGATTCCTTGTGCCGTGCTCTGAAGTTCATCTCCAACCCGCAGAAAATGTGTCACAGCATCCATGATATGGTCAAGGAACTGACAGCTCAAATACGCAGACTCAAGATGGAGCAACGTCACCGAGGTAGGTCACGGAAAAGGTCACAGACAAGGTCACGGCCAAAGTCAGGTACTCATAAAGGGGAAGGTCAAGGTCAGTGTTATGGCAAAAGGGTTGGCTTTGAAAGGTCCTAACATTGATGAAAATACCATAAAAGCACCTAGATTTAACAAAAAATGTCTTGATCAAATTAAACCTTGATTTTGAGTAAATGATCATTAAAATATGATTGTATTTTAATTTTAGTAGTTTGAGGTGTTATACTGATCAAATTGAATTAACCCTTTCACCACTGTAGACCATAATAGACTCATCCATATGAATATATGGTAGAGTCTACTCAAGTTACCTAGGGGTGAAAGGATTACGAGAATACAAGGATATGAAATACTGTATAACATGAAATGTTGGTTGTGTATAAACATTCGTGGTTTTCGTGGTTGCTATTGAACCACGAATATAAATACAGCTAGTTTGAATGATACACTTGTCTACTGTTTGTCGTATAGGATATCCATCCATGAGAATTGTACCACCAAACGATCTAAATGGCTTTAAACCACCAATGAAAATACCCACGAACATTTCGTGTTGTGCAGTACATGTTACAAATTATTTCCTGGATTATCAGACCACCAACCAGTGTTAGGTTTTAGGATTGTTTGGTTCTATATGGTGAATTCAGAGACCTCCAGGTTACACATCAAGACCTCTGTTATTCGAGAATTATTTGCAAATGGTGGGAGACGTTGGGACTTAATTTGACTAGAAAGACCATTAACAGGCCATAAAAAGCCTTGAATTTCATGGTAATTCTGTACAAACTCTGTAGAAATAGAAACCATGATATTATCGGCCCCGTTCGTGATTTACATACAGTTATGGCTGCAATTGTCTAATATTTTGCAGAACTGAAGCTATACAATGGAGAATCTTGGGAGCTGTTGATTCGCCGCTGGGCAAAGCTAGAGAAAGATTTTAAAATGAAGGATGGCCGTTTTGACATCAGTAAAATACCAGATATATATGATTGTATTAAATTCGACTTACAACACAATCAGTCCACCTTAAAGATCAAGAACGCTGAGGATCTCTTCAAGTGTTCCCGGGCCATGGCAGACATAGTTATACCACAGGTAGTGTAGCTGACATAGTTATACCACAGGTAGTATAGGTGACATAGTTATACCACAGGTAATGTAGCTGACATAGTTATAACACAGGTAGTGTAGCTGACATAGTTATACCACAGGTAGTGTAGCTGACATAGTTATACCACAGGCATATAGTTATGCAATTCTTATACAATACCATTTGCATAAGTGGCAAATAGCCTATGACATAATGAAGTTTATGTTAATGTTCAAGATTCCAATATATAATTTCCAATGCGGGACTAGGTAATAGTACCTGTAAGGAAAATGAAGAGTAAAAAAGGAAAAGAAATCATCTTTTGTAGATCTGTTATAGATTCTTAGATGGTGGGCACCAAGATCCTTCTAGGATCAATTGTCACTACATATATATGACTGTATATGGTATCAGCATGACAGGAGAATAACAGTATTATATTTGACAGGAGTATGATATCAGTATAATATTTTACTGGAGTATGATAACAGTTTTATATTTTACTGGATTATGATATCAGTATTGTATTTTACTGGAGTATGATATCAGTATTATATTTTACAGGAGTATGATAACAGTATTATATTTGACAGGAGTATATTATCAGTATTACATTTTACTGGAGTATGATAACAGTATTATATTTGACAAGAGTATGATATCAGTAT